AAAAAAAAAGAAAATGTAGGGTCGATTCGACAAGTGTCAGTAAAATGTAGGGTCGGTTCGACAAGTGTCAGTAAAATGTAGGGTCGGTTCGACAAGTGTCAGTAAAATGTAGGGTCGATAGCAGCAGAAAAGCTGCTAAACAATTAGAATTAAATGTAACGATAGAAATTATTGCAATAATGCGTAATGCAATTGAAAAATTGAAAGAATCAAAAGAAAAATCGCGAATTCGTATCTTTTTCGATTCTAGAATATAAGAAAATTTGAATAAAATACGCGACGAGAATTGGGGAGAAGCATAAGTTAAACGCGTAAAAATATTCAATAATAAACGAACTAGGGATGAAGCTATTATTTCAATACGCGATGCACTGACTCTAGTATTTACTAAAATTCAAAAATTCTCGTATAAATTCCGAAAATAGATTATTAATTACGGTAAACTACTGAGACGGTTTAATTTAGGGTGGGCATAGTGCACTCGTTCCAAATCAGCTCACAATATACAATAATAAATCAACTAACTACTTAACATGCAATTCATGCAAATTCCTTGGATGGTAAATTATTAGTAAACAAAATTCAATATCAGAGAAAATATATGAAAAATTTCAAATTAATTTCAATTGCTGGAAGAAAAGTACATATTGATTGTTATGCTGTAACGAAAAAGCAACCTCTCAAAGTCACTTCAATATTCTATTCGACAAGTCTGAAGAACAAGGATGACTAAAATTCAAATGTTTATTTCCCTAAACCTTCAAAATAATTTCGAAATATTTTATTCGAAGCGGAGTATTCCAAGTCAGTATCGATAATTGAAGAAATTATTTGATTGTATTTAAAAGAACCGAAAGGAGAATATTTAAAGTCTGATATTAAATGTCTAGCAAGTACCAGTAATTGGTAAAATGATTTATATTTGTTTTAAAAGGAAAATTTTTAATAGGTATTAGTTAAAATGAATTGTTATTCAGTCTATTGTATCGAAATTCTAAATGATACTAATGTATACAAGTGTTACAAGAAGGCTGAGTGTGTACAGGGTGGACATAGGCTAGCTAGTAGCCCCCGACCACTCTATGAACTTTAACGTCTATACTCGAAAGTGTATCGTCAACACTAACACGTTACCCAGATTATCCAAAAATTGAAGAAGTTACTTTTAAAATTGAACATTCTACGGTGTTTCGAGAGATTTGATAATCATAGTCGAACCTTAAACGAACGTTCAAACGAAGAAAATTTTCCAAAAATCATTTCGTACGTTATTAATCGATAAAACAAAAATTCATTGTTGAAAAATAAATATTTCCTGAAAATCTTCATCTTCCATACAAGATTCAAGATTTTCCCTAATTAAGAGTAATTTCAAAAGATTATCTGTATAAGCTATTATTTCAATACGCGATGCACTGACTCTAGTATTTACTAAAATTCAAAAATTCTCGTATAAATTCCGAAAATAGATTATTAATTACGGTAAACTACTGAGACGGTTTAATTAAGGGTGGGCATGGTGCTGCTTTAGTTTGAAATGATTTATAAACACATAATTAACAGAGGAAAAACCGTGAAACGGCAAAACGTCTACATTCTAATTGTTATAACATGTAAACAGAACTTTAAATTTAGTGTAAACAGAAAAAA